ACCCCAAAGAAGAACAGCAGGGGGAGCCAGAAAAAGATCCCAAACTAGACTAGAATAGAAATAGATACCATACTCTCATTAATGATTTGTTAAAAATCATCACAGTTCCTTGGCAGAGATAAACGACAGAATCATACTACTTATCAATAATTTCACCATCCGCTGATCACCTCCATTAGATCAGGACATGGCCCTGAATGAACCTTAGAATCACTGGAGAGTTTTCAAACGACTTTCTTTTTAACTTATTTATAATTGTGGTAAATATACCTATAACATAAAATGGTCCATTAATCACTTAAAAATATACAGTTCAGTGGTGTTAAGTGCATTTATGCTGTGTACAGCCCACCTCCAGAACACTTTTCTTCTTGTACACCTGAAACTTGGTGTCCCTTGAACAGCTTCCTTATATAGTCTTCTTAGGTTGTTTTGAAATGCCCGATTTTAGGCAAAATGCCCATTCTATGATTCAAGTGCTTAGCACAGCTTGAGGTTCATTTCAGAAGCCCAAGGTCATAAGAAAATGACTCACTGAGAAACAATCCTCCTGCAGCCTCTCTCTCTGAAATGAGCACTACCTGTTAGAAAAGTCTGCAATCTCAGGTGAATGACCTTATACAAAACCTTGTGAAGACCTGTAGGAGAAGCTGGGGAGGATGGAGCCTCAGGAAGATCCATTCTGTATAGACCAGGAGTCCCCAACCCCCTGGCCTCATGTCTCCCCGTAGCCCTGACCTCACCACCACTCTATTTTCAGTCTCTATGGATTTGACTACTCAAGTATATCCTGTAAGTGGAATCATATAGTATTTGTCTTTTTTATGACTAGCTTATTTCATAGCATAATGTCCACAAGGTTCATCCATGGTGTACCATGTGTCAGCATTTCTTCCTTCCTTCCTTCCTTCCTTCCTTCCTTCCTTCCTTCCTTCCTTCCTTCCTTCCTTCCTTCCTTCCTTTCTTTCTTTCTTAGTCTGAGTCTCATTCTGTCACCAGGCTGGAGTGCAGTGGCAGTGAGCAGTGAGTGGCAGCCTCGACTTGCTGGGCTCAGGCAATACTTCTGCCTCAACCTTCCAAGTAGTGGAACTACAGGCATGTACCACCATGCTTGGTGATTTTTTAATTTATTGTAGAGACAAGGTCTCACCAAGTTGCCCAGGCTTGTCTTGAAGCTCTGGGCTTAGGCAATCCTCTTGCCTCTGCCTCCCAAAGTGCTGGGATTATAGGCGTGAGCCACTGTGCCCGCCCTCCCCCACTTTTAAAAGACTGAATAATATTCCATTGTTTGTACCTGAAGAGATTTTAAAATCACCAATGCTCAGGCTAATTAAATCAACCCAGACTCTCTGGGAGTAGGACCCAGGTGTCAGTGTATGTAAAATGCTTCTTAGAGGAGTCTAATATGCAGTCAGAACTGAGGACTACTGATAGTTCAAGGACACCTAAAACTCACTAATTTATCCTTCACACCCACCTTCCTCCTGGATTCTATTCTAAGAGAAGGACACCATCTGGGAAACTTTCTATACCAATGAAATCAGAATATCCAGGGGAGGGCCCTGGCATCAGTATTTTTAAAGGTCCTACGTGATTCCAATGAGCAGCAAAATTTGAGACCCACTGTATAACTATGGACCAACCTGCTCAGGCTAGAAACTTGAGGGTCACCCTTAATTCTTCCCTTTCTCAAATCTAAATTTTCCTAAATTCCATTTGATCTGCCTCCTTAAACTGTGGTTCTAAGTGTGGTCCCTGGATTTAATGAGGTGGCCACTTCATCTCACTTTGCCTGGGACTTTTCTGGTTTTGGCCCTGAAGATCCCCAGGTGCTGGGATCCTCAGCAGTTTTGGGCAAACCCAGATGGTTGTTCACCCTCCCGCACCAGCAGCGTCAGCAACACCTAGGAACTTGTTGGAAATGCCAATGGTCAGGTCAGCCCAGGGCCTACTGATTCACTCAGCCCTGAGGCTTAGCCCGCTGTGCTTGTACATGCTCTCCAGGTAAGTGAACCCTTGGATTGGAAAACCATTGTCCCAAGTAACTCCCAAGTCTTTGCACTTTGGATCAGAGTTGCTTCTTCTCCTAGGGATGGCCGCTAACTATTAATGAGAACCTATTGGGCAGCAGGTGCATTCTTGATTGTCTGGGTGGTCAGACACTACAGGGCAGGTTGTGGTACTGGGGCGAGGAGAGCACATCTGGCAAAGCCTACAGACATTTTGGGCTGATGCAGTAGAAGAAAGGGAGGTGCTACTGGCATCGAGTGGGTAGGGGTACTGCTAAAGAAATGTTCTATGATGCACAGGACAGTCCCTGTCCCCACAGCAAAGAATTATTCCACCCCAAATATCAACCATGCTGAGCTTGAGAAACCCATAAGTGGCTTTAGTGCCCCTAGGCATGAGCCTTATCATCCCATTCTTCATTTCCAAAAACTGTTCACCTCTGGTCTTCCTCCCCATTTTCTATTTCTAATTTTAGGTGAGCAAATCCCCAAACGAGGTGAGTGTTGGAGTAAGTCTGGCAACCCCTAGAAATTCTGTTATCTAAAATCACCTACCCAGTCTTTATAAAACCCACAGCGGTGCATACAAGGTCTGACAATTAGGTTCACAAACTCATCCTTAAAAAAGTGCTACATACCTCATTGCTGAATATCATTACAGTTACCTTCAAAGTAATCCCCTTGGGAAGCTACACTAGGATGCCAGCACCTAATCTACCTGTCACAGCAGTTTTGGAACTCTTTCTGGAATGGCCATCAGAGCTGTTATCGTGTTACCCTTAATGTCCTAAATGTCATCAAAATGTCTTCTTTTTAATATTTCCTTTATCTTCAGGTAAATAAAAAAGTCATTGGGGGCCAGAACAGGTGAGTATGGAGGGTGTCCCAACATAGTTATTTGTTTACTGGCTAAAAACCCCCTCACAGACAGTGCTGTGTGAGCTGGTACATTGTTGTGATGCAAGAGCTTCTTTGGGACCATTTTTGCATATATCTTTCTCATGCCAAGATTTTTGGTTAAGATTTTCCTAACTGTTTCTCTAGTGATGTTTATTTGGTCTGCTATGCTTCTCACAGCTGACAATTTTGACACACAATTCAATAAATTTTTGCAATGTTTTCATCGGTTCTGCTGGTTACTAGCTGTCCTGACATCTCTCCATCAGTGATGTTTTCTCTCCCCTCAGAAAAATGTTGAATCCATTTGTACACCGTCATTTTCTTCATGGCATTATTCCCATAAACTTGGGCTAACATGTTCCTGATTTCATTTGTCACTCTTGTCAAGTCTAACAAGAAATTTAATGTTTGTTCTATGCTCTAATTCAAGCTCCAGCATTCTTGTGATGGCACATAAAAGCATGCAACACCATTAATGAATGCTGCTCAGCAAAACACTGCCTTCCCTCAACGTGAACACAACTGTGACACTGATATACCAAGGTTATGAAACCATACTGAATTATTTGTACAACACTGCCAATATAAGCCCGTGGTGGCAAATTCACAAACTTAATTGTCAGACCTTGTACAGCATAACTGCAGGGGTTGTGGTAACCCTGTCCAAGGTTTCTTTCATCAAGCTGTAAATTTAATTGGTACTGCTTTTCAGGTTGGTTTACCACAGCTGACATTTTGAAGACTCACAGGACTACGTGACATTTTTTTCTTGCTAAGTTCATGAGTATGAGTAATATATGTAAAACTGATTGGGATATAATACTATCCCTTCTTTGGATGAAAAGCATATAAATGTATTCCCAAAGACACCAGATGCATTTTGTAATTGTTTAATGAATGCTGCTGGATGATACTGGTTTTAAAATATATTAAAGTATTACAATAAACAGTGAAATGTATTAAACTTACAATAACTTTCTGGAGTTGCTAATTGATTTAATTGACTATTCACTAATTATTACTTCGCCTTTGCCTCAGCTGAAAGCTGCACTCTGTCCAACAACTTGCCAAAGAATTTTTTCTTTTTTGTTGAAACATTTTGTATGAGACGGATGCAGACACAAAGGGCATACAATGCCCAACTACTTAGCTCCTGGACCCCTGGGTGAAATCATGTTTGATAAGAGCTTCTCCACAGTAAAGGCTTACGTTCACTTCTGTTTCTACTACTGTTTTTTTCTTATGCAATTATACAGTAATTTATAAGATAATTATAATAAATCTGTTTATAATCGTCCCTAAGACTTGCTGGCATGCATCCAATGGGCAATTTTATACATCTAAAGTTCTCATAAAAATCTTATGTTTAACTTTTCCTTATTTGTCTAACACTTTTTTTTCACGTTACATCAGGAATCCCTAGATATTTCAACTAAGTTTTGCCTAAATTGCAGTGAGGAATGCAGAATGAGGAGTTATAAAGTTTACTTTTTTGTGTTGCTGTTTAAGAAAGGTAGATTTATTAAAGGAAAGATATGTTGTTTGTGAAGGGCATAACGGGCAGGATAACGGCAAGAGAGTCTGGTGTCTGCTGCCTAAAGTTTACTTTTCTTTCAATTACGGCAGACATCATGTTTTTTGGAAAACATAATATTTACACATATCTAGCATATTAACACAAATATTTTTAAAATATGGCTAGCTCTAAAGAATTTAAATCTTTTCTAAATGACACAAGTTGTACCACCAAAACAAAAAATAAGGATTCATTGAATACACAACTTAAACTTGTGGATTTCAACACTATCTCTTTCTAAGCTTCCTTCAAGACACAGATAGTCTCAAGTCCTTGGCTGCCCCTCACTACATACTAAATATCCATTTTCCCGTTGGATGTTGTTTTATGTGGCAATGATCTTATGTATAAATGTCATCTTTTAATTGATCATCCTGCAACATAATTATACTCTATGCTCTGATATATACTACTCTGTTTTTTAGTTTATGCTGACTCCCTATGAACCCCCCAAATTCTGATACCATCATTTAATCCATAAAATGCCAGTTTGCCAGTGAGACAGCAGACAAAACTTACCAGGATTTGAGAGTCTGTGTGGAAGTGCAGGCAGCAAATAGGGCGTGTAAAGACACACCTGAAAGTGAGAGTCAATTTAAGCAGAAAACGTTCTCCCTGAGGCACCTGGAAATAGGAAAAAAAAGATGAGAGGTATTCCAAAACCTGTCAAAAAGGTGATACGCAAAGTTACTTGCCTGAGATTTGAACTTACACATACCACACACCACACACACACACACACACACACACACACACACACACACACTCTATAAACAGAGGGAAATAGAGCTCAATTTTACGGTAAATGTTTTTCTTGTTTTCTCCAAAACCAAGTTTAATTGCCACGGACAACTTTGTTCCCTGCTTTATGTATTTACTTTTTCTGGATCATGTTTCAGGGGTCATTTTCAGACAGTTTGATACTTATCAGCTATAAAATGTGCTGAATTAGAGGAGGTTATTTTTCAGAAATGAGAGACCCCAATCTGACCCCAATTTGCTTCCACAGGGACCAGGTGGAATACTTTTAGACAAGTTTTCAATGCTCTGACCAGTTCTAACTGGCTTCAGATAATCTACAATGACTCACACATTTCTGTTTACCTTGTGTTTCAGCTAGTATAACCATTGCAGGAATTGCAGGTTTAAGTGGTCTGGAAATACATGTAGTTTGAAATTTCATTCTCTTACAAAGAAGGTTTATAGGATAAAAGTGAAGCCAATGCAGAGTCTTCAATTATATTCACCTGTCAGTTCATTCATAATTCCATTTCAAATCTGTGCAGTTTCAGCAGGTAAGTTTATTAGTTGCTTGAAAAGACATATTTAAGATTCCTAGAAGCTCATGGAAGAATAATGGTTATGAGTCAAAAAGAGATGTTCATTTTGATACAACATTCACAAATCAGGAAACAGATTCAACACACTCTCCCCAAACACACATATTATAGATATTTAAGCTTCTTCAGGGGTGTTCTTCAATAGTAGATTATTTTTCTATCAGTTGTTGCCATGTCTTAGGATATCTACTGCTATCTAGAATGACTTAACTATTCATCTCTTAGGATTAGGGTTAGGATTGGAGGCTGTCAGACAGTAGATATTTTCAAGAAAAAATAATTTGCCCGTTGAACAAAAAGTCAGTTTATCAGTTTATCAGAAGGGGTCTCAGTACAGCTCTTCTTAAACAAAGTCTTGATATCTCCTGTTTTTCTTATTCAAAAAGAAAATAGCATTATTGCCTTTCCTGGAAAATAATATATGCTTACTTATCCAAAATCAGACAATGTAAAAATTCTTATGACAAAGTAAAAATCACCCGAAAGCTTACAGTTTTTGGTGAATGTCTTTCTAGATCTCTCATCTCTCGTATTCCCTCATGCTTGTTTGCTCTCTCTTAGAAAGAGAGAGAAGATGGACTGGACAGCAGGAGTGAGTACCTAAGCTCAGCAATGTGAATCCTAGCTCTATTTTTTTAGTCATAGAACCTCTAAGACTGGCAAATTCCATTAGGGACAATTTACATATCAAAATTCATTTGTTGTAAGCATACCATTCAATGCTTTCAGTTGAGTGTGAAAGAGGCGACACTCCTAGGACAGAGTATTTCCTCAGAGGGCATTCTGGGAAGACGTTCCTTGGTGCAGCCTCATTTCAACTGGAACTTCTTGATGAGCCTTCTCAGGTGTGACCATGTCTATCTTTCCTCCTGGTAGCCCACCTCACTGCAGGGCAAGATGTTCCTAAAGAGACTTGTCCAGAGTCGAGGAGACTTTACTAGGGCAAAGGAGTCTCCATTGGGCACAATAAGCCTTGCGAGTGCTGACAGGATGTGTGGAAGCTTACTCAGTTGCAGAAGACCTTGGAACAGTTAATCAGCCTTTAATTAGATCCAGTGAACCTGAATGAAGCTCACTGTGCTTAAGGCAGCTGACACATGCTGTCAAAGCTCAGAAAGGACAGATGGGTGTGGGCCTGTCTGTAAAGTCCTCAGGCAGTGAGGAAGTGGCAAAACCCTCCCTGACAGGACTAATGACACCCTTTTCTGTTACCCTAGAGTGACCCCAGGCAGAGGACCCCTTGGCACCTGGAGAGAACTCCCGACAGACCTCCTATTTGGTTTCTCTTATAACCAACCCTCCTAGTTCCTCTCACAACAGGGGAAGATGGGAAGATTCACACAGCCTGCAATGGTCTGGGCCTGAGCTTATCCTGGCATCTTTCACCTCAGAATCTGTCTTGGTGTTCTCTGATTCTACGGACTGAGGTAGATGGAGCTCAAGGGGCATTTAGGAGAGAGTAGGGGACTCGAGATCACTGATTTGTTTTTATAAACCCTATAAGAATTTCAAAATGCTTTTCAATATTTATAGGAAAGTGCTAAAATGTACCAGATTTTAAAGTTGTTCCTAAGTGTGAAATAAGGAACTAGTGTGTAAAAACTGTGCTATTTCTGTGCCAAAAATAACACCGTCATAGAATGTGAGATCCTGCACAGATTTCAGAGATCATTGTAGTTCTCTTTGTCTTTGAGATAAGGAAACTAAAATCTAAAGAGTTAAATGACTCAGCTAAAGCCACACGAGTCCACAGCCATCCTCTGTCTTTCTCACTCTAACAACCCATAGTGGATGGCCATGTTTCTTTTATTTTGTTCTCAGGTGTGGTGGCTTTGTGGCCGAGTCACACTAGCACACTTGAAGGTTTCAGTGAATCCAGGGAAATTGGAATGTTTTATAGATGAGGTGTACTAAAGAATTTAATCCCCACATCAACCCCATGAGGTAGATACTAACTTATTCTCACTTTATAGATGAGAAAACTGAGATACAAAGAAGTTAAGTAACTTGCTTATGATTGCACAGATATCAACATTGTTTTTAATTCCACTGAAATGAACTGATATAGCAAGGGAGTAGAATGGTCAAGAGCAGGTTGTCTGGGCTTCTCACAGGTATTGAATGGCAGGACCAATCTTCCCATGACCCTTCCGTCCCAGTCCCATCATGCTGAACTGTGCCAGGAAAAACTGAAACTCTTTGAAATGAACAAAAAGATTAACCGGGTATCTTGTGTCATGCATCCTTCCTGTTCATCTCTGCCTTTGAGCTATTTTACAAATCTGTAAGTCTTAGAATATTGATAGTAATGATAGTAAATGATTCCTATCCACGGTAATGCAAATTGTGTCCTTTAGAGATACTACTGATTATTGTCATGTAGATGTCAATAGGCACAGATATCAGCCAAGTGATTTCAGCATTTCTGAAGGCCCATGTATGTGTGTTGAAAAAAAAATTATCCTTTCAACTGGTTGTAACATTTTCCTGCTTTCCTCCTTAATGAATTGAATACAATCTTTAGTGCAAGTTTGTTTTTTATTTATATTTTTAAATTTTTATTTGTAAAAAACAAAAAAAATATTGAGTATGCCTGTGTGTCTTCTCATGTGCTATTTCTTCTTTGCCAACTTCATCTAGATCAGGGGTCAGCACTCAGCAACACACAGGGCCAGTTTAAAAGTCTTGGGAAGACTGCTCAGTACCATCTGATGTCCCAGCTTGGGCAGGGATAGGCAGGTCACCCAACTTCTGGGAGTACCTTTCTCATTGCTTTCCACTTACCTGCTTCTCTATGAAGCTCAAACCCCCTTCTGCTTATTATCTCCATTGACTTTGGTCTTTCTGCTTTGTCTTGTGATGTCAAGAATCTCTTCTCTGACTCCTGTGGCATCCAGTATCACCTAACATGTTTGAGCTAAATGCTCCTCAGAGTCCAGTTCTGTATTTTTGGGGGCTGCTCTTCGTGCTACTCTGAATTTCACTTCCAGAAGTCAGGTTCCATAATCAATATAAACAGCTTGGAGAGTGAAAATATTGTTATGAACAAGATTTTCAGACAACTCTAAGTATTTTTAAGGAGCTAAACATTGTACTATTACAAGTGTCCTCCAAACTGGCATAGATGCATTCCTGAACCTGTGGATTCTCTTCCTCAGTCTTCAGATGTGGTTCTTTTCTTGCTATAGGATTTGTTATCACTTGGATGACCCAGGAATTCTCTAGTCCCAGACCTGAAACCATGTGGAGTCTCACACCACCTACACCTACTCTAGGCCTAGGCACAAATTGTTAATTTCTCAAAGGCAGCGGCCTTCTTTCTGTTCCCTTTGTAACCCTCCTACATCTAGTACATTGTAGAAGCCATAGGAGGTATTGGCACTGAAAGGCACAGGGAACAGTCAGAAGGGCGTCTCCCGAGATGGTGCTAAACACTATATAGAACCAAACAAAGACAACAAAGGCCCTAAGTTCCTGCTTTTCCTGCGTGCGCGAAACTTAAACCTATACACAAATATTATCTCCCTATAGGAATACTATCTCATAGCTCCCTCCAATAAAGACCCTAAGACGGCACTGGCCATCACCGCCAGGCTCCAGTACAGCACTGGTCGCCCCTCCCAAACCAATAAATACAGACCTCTCTCGCCGTCTCTCTCTCACTCCCCTTCCCTACCAGGTGGTTACAGACTCTCTCTCTGTAGCCGCTGCTCTAATAAATCTCTTGGCCTCAAAGGGTGTTAAGTCTTGCTGGTGCCATCGTCCTTCATTGGTGCTGTGCCTCAGTCAGGAGCTCTCTCGCCCTAAGACGAGGCTCTGTCCTGGTGCCAGTGGCACTCGCCCCTTAAGGCCTTCGCCCACTTTCTTGAATGCCAGCGCTGCATCCATCACCACCTCAGATAGGTAAGTGCCCCTACCTGAAAAAAAACCCTAAAAACCTCGCCCAGGATACCCGGAAGGGACTGACCATCGTCCGGCGGCTCTTTCGGCCCCAGGTGAGGGGGGGCCACACCCCACCTAGGCTTTCAAAGCCACAGCGGACCCCCTACTGGTTTTTCCTTCTCCTGCCTAGGACTCTAAAACCACCTCTTTAACTCCTATAAGCATTCAAAAAAGTGGGCAGAGATTTCCCTCCCTCCTGTCCCACTTCGACCCATTGAACTCTTGGCCTTAACGGGTGTTAGGTCCCACTGTGAATCGGGCCTTTCTTGCCCTTGTGCAGGTCTC